CTTCCTCCTTCTCTTCCCTCCATCTTCGTCCTTCCACTCTTCCCTTCCACCCTTTTGTCTTTCCTTCTTTCCTTCCTCTTTCCCTCTCTCCCTCTTTCTCTTTCCATCCTTCTCTTCCTCCCTTTCATCCTTCCTTCCCTTTTTTCTTTCTCTTTCTTTTCCTTCCATCCTTCCCGTCCACCCTTTCATCTTTCCTCCCTTCCTTCCCTTTTGTCTTTCCTTCCTTCCCTCTTTCCTCCCTCCTTCCTTTTCTCCCTCTTTCTCCTTCCATCCTTCCCTTCCACTCTTTTGTCCTTCTCTACCTTGTCTTTCCTTCCTCCTTCCCTCCCTCTTTCTCCTGCCATCCTTTCCTTCCTCCCCTTTGTCCTTCCTTCTCTCTTTCTTTCCTCTTTTCTTTCCTTGATTCCATCACCGAGAAGCCAGTCCTCATAATAGGGAAGTGCCCCTCAAGTTAGAAAGTTTGCCCAGGCCTGATAGAGACCTTACATTTGGGGACTTATAGTCCAACACTTGCACTTTGACTACTCCCCAGACTTCCACTTTCTCTTTTTTGTTTTGTTTTCTGGAAAATCCATCCGTATCAATTATCCCAATGTGTTTCGGCTTCACGAAAATGCAGGGATTAGATTTGTGTTTGGATGAAGTTTTCAGTTCAGTCACAGGCGCTTAAAAACTTGCAAACACTAAATTGCACAGGCGATTGAGTTCCACCCGGGGTGCCTTGCATTTCCAGCATTATAGAGTCCTTCTTTCGCCGCTGGCACTGGAGCTGGAAGACTGTTGGGAGGAAGGCTTTGCACCATTAAGCAAAAGGCCGCTGCTTTGCAGAGTGAACCTGGTCAGCTGTTCTCGCTCCCTTTCTTGCTGCTTTGGGGTGGTCTGGATGCAGTTTGGCCCTGCTTGAACTGCCATTGCTCAAGGCTATCAAATCTTGAGAGTTGCAGTCTTACAAGGCTTAGCCTTCTCTGCAAATCCTATGATTCCCTACCATACAGCCATGGCAGCTCAAGTGGCATCAAGCTGTATTAATTCCACAGTGTGAATGCACTCTTTGGCAATGATGGCCAAGGATTCTGTACAAACTACGCCTTCCTTCCTAGATGCCAAAACGTTGCGCTGTAGCAGTTTAAAGCTGTATCCAAATTGCATTAACTTGGCTGTGTGTAGATGCATTCTGCCGAATTCTCTGAGGACTGGGCTGGAGCTTACTTTACTTAGCTTGAAAGGGTCTTTGAGTGAAATTTGCAAATGCTAAGCAAAGGGCTTTGAATGAAATTAACAGCAAAAGAGAAACATACCCTTTCTCTGTAGAAAAGGAGCAACAGGGAAGAAAATGTTTTTAAGAAACAAGATGTGACATGTAGAGGTCGGAAGTTGTGTTGTGGTTAAGTTCAAAGGTTGTGGTTAAGCGCAGAGTCTGCAGGTACAAGAAGGTACTTTCCATCAAAAGGTCAAGGGAGAGGGGCTGGAAAGAGAGTACTTTCCATGACCTATTACTTGAGTATAAAAGTCAGCAGAAAAAGAGGAGGGGCGCGGCAGTCACTTGAAGGGTAGCATCTGCGTATGCTGCCAGGCTGTCCGTCTTCTTCATGAAGAAACTAAAATAAACCTTGTTTTTTGATCTTTTTTGGGACTGTCTCCTTCCTTATGTGTTCCCGTGATGTGGACCTAAGAAGACCCAATTTAGGGTCTCTAACAAGGTGATCCCTCGTTGTCCGAGTAAGATTGTCCCCCAAGGTCAGTGTACTTAATCATAGAATCATAGAATCAAATAGTTGGAAGAGACCTCATGGGCCAATGGGATTTTGGCCTGCATCAATCGGAGCATAGTGTCTAGATCCAGGGAAGTAATGCTACCCATGCTCTATTCCGCTTTGGTTAGACCACACCTGGAATATTGTGTCCAATTCTGGGCACCACAATTCAAGAGAGATATTGACAAGCTGGAATGTGTCCAGAGGAGGGCGACTGAAATGATCAAGGGTCTGGAGAACAAGCCCTATGAGGAGCGGCTTAAGGAGCTGGGCATGTTTAGCCTGAAGAAGAGAAGGCTGAGAGAGGATATGATAGCCATGTATAAATATGTGAGAGGAAGCCACAGGGAGGAGGGAGCAAGCTTGTTTTCTGCTTCCCTGGAGACTAGGACGCGGAACAATGGCTTCAAACTACAAGAGAGGAGATTCCATCTGAACATGAGGAAGAACTTCCTGACTGTGAGAGCCGTTCAGCAGTGGAACTCTCTGCCCCGGAGTGTGGTGGAGGCTCCTTCTTTGGAAGCTTTTAAACAGAGGCTGGATGGCCATCTGTCAGGGGTGATTTGGATGCAATATTCCTGCTTCTTGGTAGGGAGTTGGACTGGATGGCCCATGAGGTCTCTTCCAACTCTTTGATTCTATGACTATTAGCAATGATCACATTCCTCTCTAAGTGTTTGCAGACAACTTCCTTAATTAGGGCTTCAGCTGAGGCAGCACAAATGGTGCCAAGTGGTATTAATTCAACAGTATAGCCCTAGTCCAAATGTGGTGTTTTGGACATCAACTCCCACCATTCCTAACAGTTTGCCCATGCCTACCCTATTTTTTACCATTCTCTTTGAACATTAATCCCTGCCCAAGGGTTCAATCTTCTCCTTCTCTTCACTCTCTTTGCAGTCATCACTTTGTGCTGCATCTTCAAGTGCCGCATCCCCAGGACCAAGAAGGAGATCGAGGCACGCTACGCCAAGCGACAAGCGGCCAAGAAATATGCAAACAAGCTGGAGTCGGTGCCGCCCCTCAATGAACTCACCGAGATCCCAGGAGGTATTGTTTTCTCATTAATTTGGGTGGGGTACAAGGGGCAGAAATGGGGGGCAACTACCATAGCATGGCAGCAATAACCATCGCCATGCAATTCCTGCCCTAAACACCTTCTCAAGCTTGCAAACGCCTTCACACCTGAGTTTTTGGGTGCATCTGCACTTTGGAATGAATGGAGTGTTGACACCACTTCCAAATGCCGTGGCTCAATACTATGCAATCCTTGGAGCTGAAGTTTGGTGAGGTACTTTTGGCCTCCACTGTTTGGCACTGGAAGCAAGAAGACTTTGGACAAAGGGGATGCATTTTGATACCATTTGAACTGTCATGGCTCAATGCTATGGGATCTTGGGAGTTGTAGTTTGGTGAGGCAACGATCACTCTTTGGCAGAGATGATGAAAGGCTTTGTAAACATGTTGTTGAAGGTTTTCATGGCTGGAATCACTGGGTTGCTGTGAGCTTTTTGGGCTGTATGGCCATGTTCCAGTAGCATTCTTTCCTGAGAGCTAACAAATTGAAATTGAATCCAGACAAGACAGAGGTCCTACTGGTCAGTCGTAATGCCGAACAGGGCATAGGGTTACAGCCTGTGTTGGATGGGGTTACACTCCCCCTGAAGACGCAGGTTTGCAGCTTGGGAGTGATCCTGGACTCATCGCTGAGCCTGGAACCCCAGGTCTCGGCGGTGGCCGGGAGAGCTTTTGCACAATTAAAACTTGTGCGGCAGCTGCGCCCGTACCTTGGGAAGTCGGATCTGGCTACGGTGGTCCACGCTCTTGTCACATCCCGAATAGATTACTGCAACGCGCTCTACGTGGGGTTGCCTTTGAAGACTGTTCGGAAATTGCAATTAGTCCAACGGGCGGCAGCTAGATTACTCACTGGAGCATCATACAGGGAGCATACCACCCCCTCCTGTGCCAGCTCCACTGGCTGCCGATCCAATTCCGAGCACAATTCAAAGTGCTGGTCTTGACCTATAAAACCCTATACGGCTCCGGTGCAGCGTACCTGTCTGAACGTATCTCCTTCTACGTCCCACCTCAGAGGTTAAGATCGTCTGGGGAGGCCCTGCTCTCGGCCCAGCCTTTGTCTCAAACACGCTTGGCGGGGACGAGGGACAGGGCCTTCTCAGTGGTAGCCCCCTGCCTGTGGAATTTGCTCCCCGGGGAAATTAGGTCATCGTCATCCCTCCTCACCTTTAGAAAAAAGGTTAGAACATGGCTGTGGGACCAGGCCTTCAGGCAATCAGGTTAAAGGACAATTGATAATGTTTGACTATGGCATGGAAGAGGATTTGGATAAGTTAAGCGGAGTAATCATTAGTAGATGGCTAGCTAAACAGCCACCAGACAGGCAATAGCTAATCAGAATGTAAGTATACTGTTTTAATCTTTATTTATTAATGTTCATGTTTAATTGATTCAGCCTCCTTCTCAAGGGCGGCTCGTCCATTACGCGAAGTAAGCGGTCGCAGAACACTTTTTTTTGCCAGGGGCGCAGAGGCGCCTCTGTACATGCCCCTCGACCGCCACTTGAGGAGCGCCCCCTCAGCTCACAACAGCCCTAGCAGTCCGGGGGGAGCCTCGGCTTTCTTGCCTCGCTGCCGGGCGATCCTCTTCCCAAAGGGGCCGGGCCCTTGAGCCTCGCCTAGCCCCTCTCGTTCCTGCTCCACCCGGCCACCGGGTGTGCGAGCAGAGCCGGCGCTCAATCATTCTCCGCGTTCGATCCCTTCCCCATGACCAGCTCCCTTTCCCGATCCCCCGGCGCTCCACCCGCCTCCTCTCCTCTCCCCAATCCGCGGGTGGGCCAAGGGGCGGAGCCGCCGCGCCTGGCCCTCTTCGGGTCCGGAGGCGTGTCTGAAGACCCCAGTGTGCGCACCAAAAGTCGCCTCTTCTCCTGACTTTCTCTTCAGCCATTGGGACCAAGAGAGAGAGAGAGAGAAAGAGCCCCTCTGGCTGGAGGTATCTCCCACCTCCGCTCCCTCCTTTGTTTTTGCGCCTACCTTCAGGAAAGGTGGGCATCTCCACCTCTCTCTCTCTCTCTCTCTCTCTCTCTCTCTCTCTCTCTTGGTCCCAATGGCTGAGGAGAAAGTCAGGAGAAGAGGTGACTTTTGGTGCACACGCCGGGGTCTTCAGGCACGCCTCCGGACCCAAAGCGGGCCAGGCAAGGGAGCAAATGCGGCAAGTGTATTTACTGGGATGTATAGTTCACCTACAATCAAAGAGCATTCTGAACTCCACCAATGATGGAATTGAACCAAATATGGCACACAGAACTCCCACGACAAACAGAAAATATATATCAGTGATTGGTTGGGGGGGGGCGCCAAAATACTCTTTGCTTACTGTTGAAAATTACCTAGGGCTGCCTCTGTCACTATTGAGAAGGGCGGGGTAGTAATGTTCTAAATAAATAAATAAATAAATTCGCTGGCATCCTCAGAGGTTCTGTTGGCAGTGAGGCAAGTGGAATGTATATAATATACCTATGGAATAATGTCCAGGGTGGGAGAAAGAGCCCTTGTCTGTTTGAAGTAAGGGTGAATGTTGCAATTAGCAAGCTTGATTAGCATTGAGTAGCCATGAAGCTGCAAAGTTAATCAGTGAGGGTATCTATCTGTATAGAGCAGTGTTTCTCAACCTGGGGGTCGGGACCCCTGAGGGGGTCGTGAGGGGGTGTCAAAGGGGTCGAACATAGTATTTTCTGTTGGTCATTGGGATTCTGTGTGGGAAGTTTGACCCAATTCTATTGTTGGTCGAGTTCAGAATGCTCTTTGATTGTAGGTGAACTATAAATCCCAACAACTACAACTCCCAGATGTCAAGGTTTATTTCCCCCAGACTCTACCAGTGTTCACATTTGGGCATACTGAGTATTCGTCCAAGTTTGGTCCAGATCCATCATTGCATGAATCCACAGTGCTCCTCTGGATATAGGTGAACTACAACTCCAAAACACAAGGTCAATGCCCACAAAACGCTTCCAGTGTTTTCTGTTGGTCATCGGAGTTCTTTGTGCCAAGTTTGGTTTAAATCCATCGCTGGTGGAGTTCAGAATGCTTTTTGATTATAGGTGAACTATAAATCCCAGCAACTACAACTCCCAAATTACAAAATTTGGTATTTGTGCTCAATTTAGTCCAGTGAATGAAAATATATCCTGCATATCGGATATTTACATTACGATTTATATCTGTATTAAAATGACAGGTATCAAGTAGCAACGAAAACAATATTATGGTTGGGGGTCACCACAACATAGGGGACTGCATTAAGGGGTCACAGCATTAGCAAGGTTGAGAACCACTGGTATAGAGCAATGAGCTTGGTGTGTCAATACTTGCAAAAAAAACCCCCAAAAACGAGCATAACTCAGGTGGGGTGTCACTGCGAGAAAAAAATCATAATTTCATGATATTTATAGTTTAATAACAAAAATATATTATTGTAATATATAACTGTATTTAATAAAACAAAAACGAATTATTTAACTTACCTGCTTTATCTATAATGCCGTATATCTCGGCATTATAGAAAAATGCTGATGTAGGAGCCGAGGATGAAATGTCCTTCTTGGGATGCGGCCCCATCTTCTCTGTATGCGGCCGCATGCAACCGTGTGTCATCGAAAATGGCTACGCGTGTCAGTGCTGACACACGTGTCATAGGTTCGCCATCATGGGTATAGAGCAGTGGTTCTCAACCCTCCTAATGCCGCGACCCCTTCGTACAGGTCTTCATGTTGTGGTGACCCCCAACCATAATATTATTTTCGTTGCTACTTCACAACTGTAATTTTGCTACTGTTATGAATGGTAATCTAAATATCTGATGTGCAGGATGTATTTTCAGTCACTGGACCAAATTTGGCACAAATACCCAATACTCCCAAATTTGAATACTGGTGAGGTTGGGGGTGATTGATTTGGTCATTTGGTAATGCTGGAGTTGCTGGGATTTATAGTTCACCTAAAATCAAAGAGCCTTCTGAACTCCACCAATGATGGAACTGAATCAAACTGGGCACACAGAATTCCCATGACCAAGAGAAAATACTGGGAAGGTCTGGTGGACATTGACCTTGAGTTTTTTGGAGTTGTAGTTCACCTACATCCAGAGAACACCGTGGACTCAAGCAATGATGGATCTGGATCAAACTTGGCACAAATACTCAATATGCCCAAATGTGAACACTGGTAGAGTTTGGAGAAAATAGGCCTTGCCATTTGGGAGTTGTAATTGTTGGGATTTATAGTTCACCCACAATAAAATAGCATTCTGAACCCCACCGATAGAATTGGACCAAACTTTCCACACAGAACCCCCATGACCAACAGAAAATACTATGTTTTCTGATGGTCTTTGGCGACCCCTCTGACACCCCCTCGCGACCCCCATGGGGGTCCCGACCCCCAGGTTGAGAAACACTGGTATAGAGTAATGCAGAATGCATCTTGGTGCCAATTGCAGTTCTTGATCATAGAATCCTAGAGACCTCATGGGTCATCCAGTCCAACCCCATTCTGCCAAGAAGCAGGAAAATTGCATTCAAAGCACCCCTGACAGGTGGCCATTGGCCAATGTTTGGTTGGAGACTTGAGGAGGACTGTTTGGATTTTTTTCCATGACTCCCCCTATGGCTTAAATCCCATTTTATTTTTTCTTTTAAGTTGCAGGCACCCCAAAGCTACCTGCTTCTCCTTCATATCCTAAGCATGCTGCTAGTCCTCAATCGCTTCCTTCTCTAGATTCCTGCCTTCCCTCTTTTGCCTCCGCTTTGGTCCCTTTCTCTTCTTTGACTTATGGCTTTCCTTGCTTCTCTGACACTTTCCAGGCTCCACTGAAAGCCTTCCGACTCTTTCCGGCCAAGTCGACTCTCGAACCCAGAACTCCCTGCCAGCAGTGAAGGAGGAAGAGGAAGTACCCCCGCAGGACCACTAGGGGGCAGGCTTTGCTTACTTTCCTGCTGATCTGATTCTTGTTTTCATCCCACTTTCATTCATCCTTTTTTCCTTCTGTCCTTTATTTGGATGTGTGTACTCCAGGTATAGGCCAACTTGGGCCCTCCAGTAGGCTTGTTTGATCGTGTTCGTTAGTTTCTAAAGTCGTTATTAATTCGTATTTAAATTAGCTTACGATCCAATATCGAGCCATGCAGGAATAGTGTGAAGAGTAATTAAGAATCGAAACAATTTTTCCAAATGTTCGTAATTATTTCGTAATTATTTCGTAATTATTAAGACGGGAAAGAAGGAGGGAAAAGGTGCCAGCGTTGCCTTTCCTCCCCATCCTCCTCCTCCTCCGCCTGGAGATATTTTTATTACTTATTTTATTTTATTATTTTATTATTTTATTAAATATTTTATTATTTTATTATTTTATTATTTTATATTATTTTATTATTTTATTAATTTTAAGTGATTTTAATTTGTATTTTTGCTAACTTAATGTATTTTAATTTCATCCTGAATTTCAGAAGTTCCCCCTGTCCTATTTGGAGGTGTTTTTAGCGCATTGCGCAATCGCGTCCGCCATTAACGAATCGATTCGTAATTAACGAAATTTCGTAAATTTCAAAATTTTGAAATCTTAAATTTCGGAAGTCCTCAGAAATTCGAAACGCTGGCGCCCCATGGAAACGAAGCGAGTTTAGAACCAAATTATTTCTTGATCAAACAAGCCTACCCTCCAGATGTTTTGGACTTCAACTCCCACAATTCCTAACAGCCTACTGGCTGTTAGGAATTGTGGGAGTTGTAGTCCAAAACACCTGGAGGGCAGAAGTTTTGCCACGCCTGATCTACACTGACAAATGCATGCAGTTTGAACTGCCATGGCTCAATGCAATGGAATCCTGGGATTTGGAGCTTGCGGAAGGCCAGAGACCTTGTCGAACTACAACTCCCAGGGACCCCATAGCAACATTATTATTACACGATGTAACAAAAATTTGAAAAATTTCCTGTTCCTGGTTTGAATGTGTTATTTCCTGCTGTATTTGGTCGTGTCAGTAGCGACTTAAGAAACTGCAAGTCGCTTCTGCTGTGAGAGAATTGACCGTCTGCAAGGATATTGCCCAGGGCACACCCAGATGTTTTGATGTTTTATCACCCTTGTGGGAAGCTTCTCTCATGTCCCCACATGGGGAGCTGGAGCTGAAAGAGGGAGCTCCCCAGATTCGAACCTGTGACCTATCAGTCTTCTGCAAGCACAGGGGTTTAACCCACTGTGCTGGGGGGGGGGGGGTCCTGCTTAATAATAATATAATAATTATTAATATAATTAATTTTATAATAAATTAATTATTAATTATTGAATCCTTGCTTAATAATAATATAAATATTATTAATATAATTTTAATTTTATAATAATTAATTAGTAATATAATATAATTAATATAATATAATATAATAATTATTATTAATAATATTTATTTATTTATTTATTTGCTGTATTTGTATACCGCCTTTTTCAGCCTATCGGCGACTCAAGGCAGTATACATAGTATACATAGTATCATAATACAATTTATTTATTTATTTATATATTAATGGGCTTGTATACCGCTAATATCTCAGCCTAAATCGGCGACTCATTGCGGTTTACAACAATTAAAAAACAATATTCAATTTAAAAGCATACAACACATATACAATACAAGTTATTGGGCCACCAATAACAATCCCATGCATCTCGTAACTGAAATCGCAATCCAAAATTCGTCGTCCATGATTACCCATCCTTTAGTCATCAAAATTCGTTGCAACGGATTACCGAATGCTTGTTTAAACATCCATGTCTTCAATCTATTCCGAAACACCATCAGCAAGGGGGCTGATCGTACCTCTATGGGGAGGGTGTTCCAAAGCCGAGGGGCCACCACAGAAAAGGCCCTGTCTCTCGTTCCCACCAGCCGCACTTGTGAAGCCGGCGGGATAGAGAGCAGGGACTCCCCAGAAGATCTTAGGGTCCTGGTGGGCTGATAGGCTGAGATACGTTCGGATAGATAAGTTGGGCCAGAACCGTTTAGGGCTTTAAAGGCCAACGCCAGCACTTTGAATTGAGCCCGGTAGCAATCGGCAGCCAGTGGAGCTGGTGCAGCAGAGGAGTTGTATGCTCCCTGCGCCCCGCTCCTGTTAGTATCATGGCTGCCGCCCGTTGGACTAATTGGAGCTTCCGGGCTGTCTTCAAAGGCAACCCCACGTAGAGAGCGTTGCAGTAGTCAAGACGGGATGTAACCAGAGCGTGGACTACCGTGGCCAAGTCAGACTCCCAAAAACATTAAAATTACATAAATCACAACAGCAATATTATTATTATTATTATTATTATTATTATTATTATTATTATTATTATATCCCGCCACCATCTCTCCGAAGAGACTTGGGGCAGCGGGGACAAGCCCAGGAACACAGATTAAAACACACACAAAAATAAAATAAGACACGTTAAAATCAGCTGCAACATCAAGGGAATACAAAAAATACAATCACATTACACATTTTAAAACCAGTATCATGGCTGAAGAAATAAGTCCTGAGTGCAGTGGGATTAGGGAATGTACAATTGTTCCTTGACAGAGCCCAGGGAAGGTGCAAGGTGTGCTTCAAATCAGATTAAGGTCACAGCTGGAAGGGTAATGCCCATAGGCATTTAAAATAACAAGATTATAGATGGGAAGGCCGACAAAAGTGCAAAAAGTTATGATGAGATCAATTCTCTGATGAAACTGCCTACTCAGTTGCACAGTGGAACATCCAGGTTTTTAACTACTTGCGGAAAGTGGAAAGGGTAGTAGCCAATCTGATCTCTTTGAGTAGTGAGTTCCAGAGCTGAGGGGCCACCACCGAGAAGGCCCTCTCTCTCCCTTGTCCCCACCCACCACGCTTGAGACGGCGGTGGAAGCGAGAGCAGAGCCTCCCCAGATTAACTTAAAGTACATGCTGGTTCATAAGAGAAGATGCAATCGTGAAGATATGCAGGTCCTGAACCATTTAGGGCTTTGTAGGTAATCACATGCCACTTGAATTGAGACTGGAAACTTATTGGGAGCCAGTGGAGCTGTTTAAACAGTGGAGTTAACCTCTCCCTGTAACCAGCTCCTATTATTAACCTGGCCTCTGATCTCTGAACCAACTACAGTTTCCAGGCCATCTTAAATGGCAGCCCCACATAGAGTGCATTGCAGCAATCCAACCTGGAGGTATCTAGGGCATGGACCACCATGGCCAAGTCAGACTTCATGAGGTACGGGCGCAGTTGGTGCATGAGCTTTAGTTGTGCAAAGGCCCTCCCAGCCACTGCCGACACTTGAGCATCAAGTGCCAAAGTGGAGTCCAGAAGGACCCCCAAACTGTGGACCTGTGTCCTCAGGGGGTGTGTAACCCCGTCGAGCACAGGTTGCCACCCTATATTCCAATCGGTTGTAATTGTTTTATTCCAGAAACGTTATTTTTTTGTGGCACGAACTATGGTCTCCTTAGCTCCAGGTGTTTTTTTTCCTGGGAGCATTCTGTATCAATTAGTTCTTCGCCTGACACCTTATCTAATGTTGCCATTTCTGGCTCCTCTGGCTGACCTTGAGGTCCTGCACTTTCTGAGTCAGTAAGTGCAGGACTTGATTGAGATTCTAGGAAATATTCATTGACAAACTAGAGCAAATTGTGCTATAGCAGGATGTCCCTTCTGCAAAAACAAAGGTTTTGCAGTTTGATACATTTCCCCCATGTTTTTATGATAGAACCAATTTGGAAATGACATTGATAACTCAGGAACAAAAATCGTGTTGCATAGTGCTGTTGTTGTTGTTGTTGTTGTTGTCATAGTTATTGTAATAGTTATACTTATTTATACCCTGATCTAAAACCTAAAAAGTATGCAAACATAAAAATAGAATTAAGTAAAGGGTATTAAAAAAAACCCATTAAAATCCTTGAAAACAGAATAAAAAGCATACCCACAGCTAGAACCACATAGCATTGAGCCATGAAAGTTATAGTGGTGTCACACTGCATTCATTTGACAAGTGTACGTTTATGCCCTTTGTCTCATCTAGGTATTTTTTCATGTTTTCCAACCCCAACCAAGAGTTATATTTGTCATTATTGTGTGCCTTCAAGTCCTTTCCTGACTTATGGTGAACCCTATAAAAGGGTTTTTTGTGCCACAATTTGTTTGCTATTAACCTGGTGCCATACCTTCACAAAGGAAAACCAAGGGAAACAAATGAATTCAGTGTGCGAATAACAAATCTGCAAACATGAAAGCCAGGAATGTGAGGTGCCACCTGTCACGTTGCCAGGGCTCTGCCTTATTTAGGTAGAGATGAACCAAACTCCCAGTTTTATCAAACAGTTTAATTAAAACAGCACTTACTTGCTGGCTGTTTTAATAGACCAAAATATCAAACATAAAGATAGCACTCAGCCACAGAATAAACAAAAACTGATAGCAAAAACAACTCCGTAGTCAAAAGGGTCCGGTCCAGTGGTTAAACGCTGAGAGTTCAATAAACAAAGTCCGGGGATCAAGGGTCTATACCAGGAGTCCCCAAACGTTTTAAACAGAGAGCCAGGTCACAGTCCCTCAAACTGTTGGAGGGCCAGATTATAATTTGAAAACAAAAATAAACATGAATGAATTCCTATGCACACTTCACATATCTTATTTGTACTGCAAATAACACGTAAAAACAATACAATAATTAAAATGAAGAACAATTTTAACAAATATAAGCTTTCAATGTATTTAAATGGGAAGTGTGGCCTGCTTTTGGCTGATGAGATAGGATTGTTGTTGTTGTTGTTGTTGTGTGCATTCAAGTAATTTCAGATTGAGTGAGGGCCGAGTAAATGACCTTTGAGGGCCATATGCGGCCCCTGGGCCTTAGTTTGAGGACCCCTGGTCTAAACGATGCCTGATCTAACGAAACAACCCGGTGAGAGGCACTTAAAACAGAAGAAATTGTTTCGTGACACGCCTCCAGGCTTTGAAGTCTGT